ATGGAGAAGGACAGTGAAAGACTCATCGTGTGGCTCGTTGTGGAAGTTTGATACAGAAAATTTTAAGTTGTTCTTGCAGCTAAATAAGTGAACAGGACAAAATATGTAAAAAGCAAGTAAAAAGACAATAAAATAAATAAGGCGAAAAAACAAGGAAAAAATGTGCGAGGGGAGGCAGAGTGGGTGGCATCACTCAATCTGGGATCAGAGACTGCAGAGAGTGAAAGAATGTCGTGAAAGGCGCCATAGATTATAGAGTTGAGGATGAGGAACATGACTGGGCCTCTAACTTGCACCATGGGAGATCCAGACAGGGCCGTGCAGAGACCTTTGGAGGGGCAGGGGTTTAAAGTTAAAAAGGGCACATTGAACAAGAAACACCGTACAACAACATAGCAACAACCCATATTAATCAATAATGTAATTGGATCCTACTATGTCATTGCCATCATATGGGGACAATGCAAAGCAAATGTAATATATTTTCCCCAGCAGATTTAAAGTTTCTGTTTCTGCTGCTGACAGTCCTGGAGGCTGAGCTGATCTGACTGAAGCTGTTAAACAGACCAGAGGACAGAAGGTCAAAGGTTATGAAGTTATCAAATAAGCAAATCTGCTGCCATTTTACTAATTAAGCCCTAGTAATATCTATTTAACCTCTAGAACAACTTGGCTGCAGACTGATTTATAGATCAAACAAGCTCAAAGGAGTAACTCTTTATAATCTTTTGATGTTAGTGTTGCCCTGCAACCTTGGATGGCTGAGGGTAAAGTATAAGATCATCTTCCCTCAGCGTTCAATTATTGCTACAGTATTTTCTCTGATGTTTGTTTTGTGAACTCTAAATGGGCCGAATCTTCCTGTAACACTTGAGGTTCTGCAGTAACTTCTATTCACAGCCGTGAACCTCCAGCCCAGATCCCGTCAGCAGCGGCTTTAACCCGCCTGGTAGGAACGTTAAGGAGAAGCAGAGCGAACAGAGAGCAGGTGGTACCAGGTGGTACCGGGTGGTGGTACCAGGTGGTGGTACCAGGTGGTACCGGGTGGTGGTACCAGGTGGTGGTACCAGGCCTTTTAGCTGTGTCAGTCTCAGTACCATGTCTTATATCAGGATGTCTGATATTCTTTCTATCTGTCGGTGGGACCGACTCGGACCGCCTGTAGAACCGGGCTTTTAGCAGCCTGATGAAGTTAAAGTCAGGAGTTTCTCTGCAGCCGAAGCATTTCTGTGTTTAGGGGCGAGGCGGGTTTTTTCCTGCTATTGCGAGGATAATTATGAAAATATAAATACTGTTTTTCTAACGTCAACATCAGACCTACGTTTTTATTCACAAACCAGCGTATGAAAAATATTCTTGCCCATAATTTGATAGTTAGAGGTTCAGATCCCCCTCCTCCTCCTCACCATGGTGTCTGAACAACATGGAGGCTCTGAGAGTCATTATTAGACTGAGACTAGTTCATTTAGCTAAATTATTATATTTAGCTACATATTATTGCTGAGGGGCACAAGCAGGCCTTCTGACATACAGATATTAAAAAAAATATTTAATAAATGGCTCTAGGGGCATCAAGGATAAAAGGGGCAGGGGCTCAAGTTCCCTTAGGCCCCCCCACCCCCTTTACCCCCGCATGTGCCTGTCCATAGATCTAAAGTAAAATTTAAATTTTGTGGATGTGTGCTGCCCAGTCACACAGTAGGAAGTTTGGAAATGACTGAATCCGCCACTGAATTTACATCTATGAAGTTTGGATTGTAGATTCTGGGTTTGTAGCTGTTTTTTTATGTCGGCTGCTGAATGTTGAACATGATGTGGTTTTCAGTGGGCAGGAGCTCTGGCGCCCTCTAGTGTCTGTCTGTGCGCATCGCTGCCAGAAGCCAAATCCTGCATAGAGGATGGAATATATAACAGAAAATTATTTAATCCAGTTTTTTAATTTTTCTTTTTTACAGAATGGCATCAAAAACAGTTCAGATGATATTTGTGGCTCTCAGCGCCATCGGGGTGATGATGGTCATCATCTGCTGCTCCCTGCCTGAGTGGGTTGTGACCAATCAGGATGATACGGTAATCATATGACCAAAAGGCATTTTATGGATGACATTAGCATGATAGTTACGATCAGTTAACTTTTATGTTTTTTATTAATCAGCAACTTTTTTATGTGTTATTGTATAATTTAACCAGAATGTCTTTATAACAACTGTTATAAAAATGCTGTAGAAATGAAACATAATATTGACTTTGCAGTTTTACGCCTCATCAGAAACGTACAGATTCCTGACATCATCTGTTCTTTTCTAAACTGTTTAAAGACTCAGTGATATTAATTTGGAAGGGAGTTTAAAATATTCTCAAAAAATAAACTTAATTTTGACATTCAGTAAAAAGAAATTAATTTGATTTTTCTATGATTTAATATAATAGAAAATGTTTAATAAATTGTACGTAAATATCT